AAAAAGAAAGAAATTGAATTCACTAAACTGTCTCTTTTCTCTCCTCAACCTGGAACTGTAGGAGTAAGGAGTAGCCTTGTCAGTCCATGACAAGAGGTCATTTGTTTTGGTGACTCTATTGATATCTGGGTCGCCTTCCCCTGTCCCTAAGCTGTGCCTCCTGTACTCTCTTTCATTCCTTCCCAATCAGAAGAGACTAATCTTGAGGGATCAAAGCAAAAGACCAATTTTCATCAAGTTTCTTAGGAACAGACTTCACAGAATCATCTCAAAAAGGAGTGAAGGAATGAAGAATAAGTGAGTCTAAATTGTTTCTCCTGCTGTTCAAACCTATTTTCCATTTTAGTAGTATACTGTATTGGTAATACATAGTTATGTGTAATAACCATATAATTCCACCTAGACTCATAAAGCCTGGCGAGGCTTGATAACAAAGAGACATAAGAAAATGTAAAGCTCATGTTTCATCTCCATTCTCACACAACACTGTTGACATCAGTTGTCTGGGGCTTCTTCCCCACACACCAAGCAATTTGTGGATTCTTCACGATGGACAAGCCAGGTGTCCTCTAATCCAATTTTGTTCTGACACTATCCATCTGGAGATACTGTCAGATCTCACAGGTTGAAGGCTGAGTCCCACAAGACTTCAGATGTCAGTCACAAGCCCCAAGCTAGAGCCTGTGCCGAGGGAAGCAGGCTATAAATCAGGTGTCTCATCACTCCCTGCTTGAAGTTGATTAACTCGCTAAAAGCAGCTCTCCGAACTCGGGAAACATTTGCTAGTTGCTATGAAGGACATTACAGAAGAGGAAGACAAGCAGCTGGGTGGAAGAGATGCATAAGGCAGGGTGTGGGAGAAGGGTGTTGGGCTTCCAGGCCCTGTCTGAGTGCTGCCCCTCTAGGAATCTCCACATGTTCGGATATCTGAAAGCTTCCAGAATCCAATCCCTCTGGATCTTCAGGGAAGCTTCATTTCATAAGTATGGTTGATCATAACACTAGACACTGATGATCAACTAAATGTTAAGCCCCTTTCCTGAGGGGCGAGGCTGAAAGCCCCACACCTTCATCTTTATAGCAACTAGACCCCCCTACTGAAACTTCCTAGGGGGCCCTGGCCTCCAGTCATTTCAGCATTATCCCTCTCATTACTTGATGATTTCAAGAGGGCTGGACCTATATGAAAGAAAATGGGATGGACAACAGGTGTGTATTTTCCAGTATCACACAACACTAAGATTTTCCATTAGTGGGCCCTGATACTGCTATATAATACTAAACTGACTACTTAAGTAGTAAGGAGATTGTTATAATAAACTATCAGATAACAAGACTCTTTATAAAGAAATCTTGATTTGGGAAAGCACCAACAGAAAAAAAATCTGTTTAGGTCTGAGGTGCCTGTTCATTCCCTGGCTGCTCTGACTGCCTTAGTTTTATGCCCCATATCCTGGCATAGTTTTAAGTGTGCTCACTTCTCTCAAAAATGGAGCCATTCGGACAATTGTTTCTACAACATTTCAACTGTGTAGAAATTGAAATGGTTCCTGTTCTAGTTGCTTTCTATTGCTCTTCTAAAACCCTGTGATCAAAGCATCTTGGGGAGTAATGGGTTTGTTTGGCTTACACATTCCAGATCACTGTCTACCACTGAGAGAAGGCAGAGGAAGAACTCAAGGCAGGAACCTGGAAGCAGGAACTGACTGAAGTAGAGACCATGGAGGAATGCTACTTACTGGCTTTCTCGGCCTGCTTTCTTATACATTCCAGGACCATCTGCCTAGGGGTGGCACTGCTCCCAGTAAGTTGGGACCTCCCACATTAATTATTAATCAACAGAATGTCCACAAGAGTTGCTTATGGGCAATCGGATGGAGGCATTTTCTCAACTAAGATTTCCTCTTCCCAAATGCTCCTAGTTTGTGTTAAATTGATAAACAAAAAGAATAAATAAAAATAAAAACAAAACAAAACAAAAACTAACCTGCACAATTCTTAAGCATTCCTTGGGAAAGAAAGAAAAAAAAAACTAAAGTTTTCAAAACCCATAACATAAACAGAGGTGGACTACACAACCAGCTTTCAAACTCCCCCAATTAGGAAAGAGTTAATACGCATTTTAACTTTCACAGCTGTTAAGGACACGTCCACATGCAAGATTATGAAACTTCAAACATAAACGTGGAGCTGGCTTGGCCTTGCAACCTAGATTTGGGAAAGTCCCACTGCAATTCTACCCCCAATCAGGGATTCAGGAGAGAGGCACAGTGACTCAGCATTTCTGACGCATTCATTAAAATGTGCTTCAATGCAACAGAACCAGAGTGGAGGAAAGGTCCAAGTTCACAGATAGTAAAATCAAAAATTATCTTTCAAAAAGCAATGAGGATGGAATTTTATGTCTTCTCATTGTAACTTTTGGGAAGCATCTGGGCTGACGAGTGTCTCTCTCATCACTGGTATTAAGCAAGTCATCATAAGATTCAGTGGAAAACAGAAAATGCTATTTGATCCTAGTTAGCAGCAGAAACTCCATTTTGTCCCAGTCTGCCATTCTGCCTTGAGTGGCTACCCAAAATTTCCTGAGGTTAGGCTGCACCACCCCCCAACCCTTCACACAAGCATTCCTCCCCCTTCTCATTGGTTGGCCCCAGAGCTGGTCCCAACTACCAAACCACAGGACTTCCTAACTGCTGAAAATGTGCCCCTGTGTGAAGTCCCCAACTGCTTCTCTATGATTGGTGGGGACTCTGAAGCTGTCTCTTGGTAGGTTTCCCCTTTAAAATTGGCTGCTGCCCCTGCCTCGGTGATGCAGTTTGGAGCCTGAACCCTGCCACCTCCCTGATATCAGATTTTTTTCTAAATAAATTTTTGCTTTGCTCAAACCCAGTCTTTTGTGGTGAATTATTCCCAGAATCTCAGACCCTAACAATACTTCTTATCAACCAGTCCAAGAAAAGCTTAAAGACACAAGGGAAAAGGAAACCATAGACCACAAAAGGAAATTTCAGAGTGCCACCAAATCAGATCGGCACTATTAAAATCTGACCCGAGCACATCTCAGAATCTTGCTTATATTCATGTCTGTGTCTCCTGGAGAATGAATATGACTTTTTCATCTTTGCAACCCTTATCTCTCAACTGTGAACTCTTGCCAACTAGCTTTGCATATGAGAAATGTACAACAGATATTTACTGAATTAAATAGGGGGGGGGGAGACTTTCAAATATCATTCCTGCCTAAGCAGTCTTTTCAAATGTAGAAAAGAAGTCTGGCTATGGGGAGGGGGGAGGTGTCAAGAAGCTTAGTCACTCCAACATCAAGCCACTGCTCCGCAGGAGCACTCCGTCCCTCTACATAAGTGACAGGCAAAAGTTCAACAGATATTACTATCATAAAGTCAGACATATGGTGTGAAATCACGCACACAAGCAAAACAGCCATGGAAGGCTAGTCCAGAGGACAAGCATTAGTCAGGGAGTTCAACACCTGAGTTAAAAAGAAATTCCACTGAAATTTCTTTCAGATCTCAGCTGAGGAGGACTTAGACATTCTTTAAAGCAGGCTTTGGGGTAGCTTTGGCCTCCTCCAGCATCCTGTACAAAGACCCTGGAGTTTAAGAACTATAACCACAGAGTGGAGACCTTCCCCCACTTGGTATAGGGATCATTCATAAAGGAAGCTATTTAATCCTTGCCTCCATGCTTGCTATCAAGGGGGTCTTGGTTGTCTCTTCTTAAAGACAGTACCCACTCCTAGCCATAAGACGTAAAGTGTCAGTTGTTCCACTAAATTACAGAGAACCTTCTGAGGGGAAGACTTGGCAAAGGAGAAGTTCATCATCTCAGCCATGGCGGACAACAGCCCCTTAAAAATCACACAAACAAGGTTAACAGGGTTAACAAAGTTATTCAGTATGAAGAAAGCTTTGTCTCGGAGACCTCAGTTGTTCTAAACATAGTAACAATTAACAGTTCAAACCTAATAGCTGCTTTACAACCTTCAAGAAGAGTCACCAGAATGCATTCTACCCCTATCTACCCATTTATGAAGTGGGAAAAGGCATGATTGTACTTACCTCTATTTCAGAAAACTAACCACACACTGATGCAAACCACAGAAAGTTTACCTGAATTCTATATGCTTACCTAGCTCCTGCGCTTGCCAACTGAATAGGAACAGTTCAGAGGGAAATATGTAACCTAAGGGGTCAGTTTTCTGCACCTAATAAAGAACAGACTCCTCCACTTCACTGTGCAGACCCACTTCAGATGCAAAATATCATTAGTTCAAGCAACAAGACGAAGGAGAAGGGGGCCCCTTAAACTATTGGAACATTAAATAGTGCTGTCTTCATTTGAGTCTCTTTCTCAAGTGCAATGCTACTTTCTAAACCAACCTAAAAGTAAAGCAAATATTCACCACTGATGTAGAGTATCTTCAAGGATGATGCCAAACTGGTCTATATCTTAGGCAAGTCATTGTTTTTCTGTTCTTCATAGTCTTTTGAAATACCAAATTGTTTACTGACTGAACCTATCATAGCAATGTCCCCCACCCCCACCCAATGCCCAATTAAAGAAATAAACTCAAGTGCAAGTTCTCCATGGAAAGACTGCTGGGAAAAGGTTTTCTGTTTACTAACTGCCAGGAGCTTTTACCTCCTGGAAGTTAGATTCCTTCATCCTTACATAAAGGCTCCCAGAAACAAGCTCACTCTGCTGTTCAGTGTCAAGGCACCTGAGAGACACGGGGACCAAGTTTCTCACAGGACATCTGAAACTGCTCAGTTTCTGTTTAGTCCAAGAAACAAACAGTAAACCCTGTCCTGGTCGATCCCAAGTTAATTCCCTCTAGTTCCTCTTGTATCTTCATATTAATTGCTTTCTTAATAAAATGCTGCACTAAAATTTGTGAAATCAGATTCTGGCAGAAAGTCAAATCGAGGGAGAACTCTTCATGGCAGCAACTTGGACTTACTCAGCCTCCTGCCTACCTTATTGTGTTTCTGTTGGTGTCTGGCCTTTGTGTCAAGAACATGATAAGGGCTTTCTGAGTCCTGGTTGATGTAATATACCAGTCTTGAAGGCAGTGTGATTTCTTTCTGCATTGCACTGCTGTGGTTGATATTACTGCTGCTATTCTGTTGCAATGTATTGTCTTCATCTGCCAGGGTTCCCAGGTTTTTTTCTGCAGTTTCATTCCAATGCGGAGCTGGGGGAGCAGGAAGCACAAATATACACAAACATACACATATATATCCAGTAAATATGTAAGTTCTAAAATGGACCGTTCAGTTAATTTCATTAACAAAGTTTTCCATTTGTAAGGATCCAGGAAGTGGACCTTATAAGACAAGTGATTGTGACAGTGGGGTGGCCTGGATGGGTTAGTAGCCAGGGAAGCTTATACAATCATGTACTATAGTCATGTATACCTTTTCTATCTAGTCTTAGATCTGAACATCTGAACTATGTGGGGGCGGGACAGAATAGGCTTTGAGAAGAGTCAGCAACTGGACAAACTCAAAGGTCCTGGCCCTCACCCCCTCCCGCTTCAGCGGATAGAGCAGCTCAACTGTACCAAGCTTAGCACCATCTCATCTGGGAGCTAAGAACACTCCTGACATAACTTGGGGGCTGAATTCATGGGCACTGAATGTAAAGTGATTCTTTCAACAATATATATACATACATATATATATTTATATATATATGTATGTATATATATATTGATTCCCTTTTCTTTTTAACTTTGAGATGGGGGGGGACTGTTTTTGCCATAAAGTGCTATAGATGCTGGCAGCTTTCCAAATTCCTTTCTTTTACTGCCAAGGCCAGCTTTCCACTTTCAGTGACTTCCAATCACCAGTGTGCTCAACATTGTATTATTCTGATTGCTCATTATGACAAGCATTTTGGGAAAACACAGCCAAAGGTCATGCGCAAAGTGTGTCTTGGGACTTTCATACTCTGGTCCCCAAAGTATGCCTCCCTCACCTTAATTCCAACAGCAGGGACTAAAGCTAGTGGGGAAGTTGAGGAAACAAGCATTTGCCACTATTATCGCATGCTCCCCGCATTCATATGAAGGTTCCCCAAAGCAAGAAGCAACTTGCTCAATCACTGCATCTCCCTGCCCCTGGAAGTTACATAGAGAGCGCTAAAGGACTCAGGAGTCAAGAAATACCTCTGGGTGGAACCCACAGTCACTGGAATAGGTCTTTAGTGAATGCAACAAAAACGGACTTCCAAAAGTGAACTAGCATGAACCTGGGCTTGGGACTGAGAAGGATGGAGAGGTCGACAGGGAGGCGCTCGAAGGCCAGGCTGGGGACCCACACGTCCAGGGTACACGCACCTGCGTGCCCTTCTCTCTCCTCCCCAGGGCCCCTC